TTTTTACTTAATAATTTTATTTAATATGTAGATAAAAATTGTTTTTGTATTTTTACACTTTACCAAATAGACACCCTTGACAACTAAGGCTGCCAGGCTGTAATCAGTGATAAAGTACCAATACTTGTCATACTTAACCAACAATATTATATGTTAGGTTTCTTTATCATAGTTAAAATACGTCCATTACTAGTCTAATTAAAATTCTAAATAATATACTTAGAAATTTCAAAATATTTGGTGTAATTTTATCAGTAGCGTATATAGAAATAATTTTTGTGGTGGGCTATAATATATAGCGACTAACAATAATTATCTAGCACCTAGAAACTACAATATAGTTAACAGTTAAGACTGTAATTTCGGGAGGGGCTGCAGCCCACTAGGCCCCCTCCCCCTTATATATGCCACTGAATTTTGTAATTGTCAGTGGTGAAAGAGAAGAAGTGAAATTAAGAAAACTTTCCAATCCCTAGTAGACATAATAACAATTAAATCAGKTTTTGTAGGATGGACATAAGTTAAATAACTGTTTGCCACTGATCCTCTTAAATTTATTTGTTTACTAGTATAATATATTAATTATAATGTTTTAGGAAAATGGTTTAGAAAGTTTTGATGAAGATGGCCTATCAGATGATGATGACTATTTGGTAAATTATACGTCATAATTTTTAAAAGCTGACAGTTGAACTAATATTAATTTATATAGGCAGGTACATTGGATGATGTTGATAGTTCAAATGAATCTGGAATTGAAGATACTATTCTTAAAAAGAAAAAAACTTCCACAAAGAAAAGAAAGGCAGAAGAAAGTGATGATGATTTATTACCAATTGAAAAAGCAGCTAAGAAATTAAAAGCTGCAAAAAAAAAAGAAGAGTATATAAAAAACAAATTTATTTCATTTTATTGTTTTCCTTTTACTATTATTAATTTATCAATTTTTATCAATAATTAGTGCTGAAGCCAATGAAGAAATGAAAATGCAAATTAATGTTGCTAGTCAAGATGTTTTTGTATTTCCTGCCAGTGATAAAATTGACGAACATATTCCTATACCTGAAGTAGAACAAAGAATTAAAGATATTTTATTAGTATTGTCTAATTTTAATAAATTTCGTGAAGAAAATCGGTAAATTGAATGTTAAAAATATTATTTTCTCAACTATTGTATTGATTTTTTTTTTTTTAGAAGCAGACAAGAATACACTGACCTATTACTCAAGGATTTATGTACTTATTTTAGCTATAATACATTTCTTATGGAAAAAATGATGCATTTATTTCCACTTGAAGACTTAATGTCATTTTTAGAAGCTAGTGAAACACCTAGACCAGTAACTATTCGAACAAATAGTTTGAAAACCAGGAGACGTGATCTTGCTCAGGTATTTATAAAACACTTAAATTGTCATAGAGATAGTCATATAGTTTTTCAAATTYTAGGCATTGATCAACCGAGGAGTGAATTTGGATCCTATCGGTAATTGGTCTAAAGTGGGACTTGTTGTATACAATTCTACTGTACCAATAGGGGCAACTCCTGAATATTTAGCTGGACATTATATGCTTCAGGTAAAAATATGATAAAAATAATAATGAAATAGTTATTCATAAAATCTAGGTGGTTCTAAGT